GTTGGGACCAGGTCAGGAGTTCTACTGAAAAAAGATGGATGAACAACTTGAGGTGAGTTTGGGAGTCAGAGACACTAATCGGAGGCAGGCGTCCAGCTAATAGCGGGCGGGAGTCTGAACATATGCGGCTTCCTTGATGACGAGCTGACAAATTTTACGTGCCTTTTGATTTAATTGTTTTTTATTCAAACTAACAAGTATAGCAACAGTGTAGCTATTCTTTTCTATTTCTTAGTTGAATTAGCAGACTCCATGCTTCCAGGGCGCACTGCTGCCCTCTGCTGGTTCTTTCAGGTTACAGTCATAAATCAAACGGGTAACATGGAGCTCGTATGTCCCTAAACAGCTATCAAATCAAATCAACTTTATTTATTAAGTGCTTTCCCATGCCCAAAACTGACAAAGCGCTGTACACCAATAACAAGCACAACAATAAAACAGACATACGACCATTTAAAATACAATAAGAAATCCCGAGTACAAGTTCGCAATCCATATCAGTCCTGTTTCCAGAATCAGATCCAGACACATTGAAAGTGATGCTGCCCATGCAATCCCAACATCAATGTCCAAACGCCAACGAGAACAGATGTGTTTTTAGTCGGCTTTTAAAGGTCTCCAGTGATTTGGCCTGCTTTACGTCGGCTGACAGCTCATTCCAAAGACTTGGTCCAAGCACTGAAAAGGCATGACTCCCACAAGACTTCAAGCTGTACCTAGGCATAGCTAATAGTCTCTGGTCAGCTGACCTAAGGGAACGCACCGGGACATGTCGGTGGATGATGTCAGAAAGGAATTTCGATGCCCCTGAGTTTAACACCTTAAACACAAACAGGATGACCTTAAACCTGATGTGATAGGAGATAGGGAGCCAATGCAAGGCACGTAGGACTGCTGTAATATGTTCAGACCTCCTGGTAGATGTTAACAACCGAGCAGCCGAGTTCTGAACCGCCTGGAGGTGTGCTAGTAGAGTTTGCCTAAGCCCTGCATATAGCGAGTTGCAATAATCCAGCCTGCAGGTAACAAAGGCATGGTTCACAGTTTCCAAATGACTATGTGACAGAAATGGCTTCATTTTCGCTACACGGCATAGATGACAGAAGCAAAATCACATGATTCTGTTCACTTGAGCATGAAATCTGAGCTCTGCGTCCAACTTTACCCGTAGGTTAGTGACCACCGCCTTCTGATGCGGTGCCAGTGTGGAAAAATCAAGCCCTTGGGCACCTCCTAGGATGTTTGGTGGAGTAAACAGGATTACTTCAGTCTTGTTTTTGTTGAAACACAAGTAGTTCTGAGCCAACCATAGCTTGATGTCCTCCAGGCAGTCCAACAAAGGTTGAAGGTTGCTTAAACCACCACGCCTAATTGGAAAAATTACCTGGCAATCGTCAGCATATTGATGGAATGACACGTCATGCTTGCGGGATAGGTCACCCAGTGGTAGGAGATATAAGGAGAAAAATAGTGGGGCCAAAATCGATCCCTGGGGCACTCCCCAAGGCAGCTCAGCCAGATCGGAGGAACAGTCCCCCAGCCTCACACAAAAACTCCTCCCTGACAAGTAGGATCTTATCCACTTAAGTGCCTGGCCCGTAATGCCCACAGACCGCACCAGTCGGTTTATTAGGATGCTATGATCAATGGTATCAAAGGCTGATGTCAAGTCCAAGAGCACCAGAACCACAGCATCACCAGAATCATTAGCCAATAAAATGTCGTCAAGGACCTTCAGCAATGCAGACTTAGTGCTATGAAAGGGTTTGAACCCAGATTGAAATACTTCTCCAATTCCCCATTCCTGTAGAAAAGACATCAGTTGGATAAACACAGCCCTCTCTATGATTTTTGAGGTGAAAGGGAGTGTAGATACAGGTCTGTAATTAGACAAGATTGTTGGGTCCAATCCTGATTTCTTAAGCAGAGGTCGTACCACCGCCTGCTTTAGGGAAATATGGACTTCCCCAGATAGCAAGCTGCTATTTACAATTTGCAGTACGTGATCACCCACTACAGAAAAAACTTCTGTCAGTAGCCTTGCCGGGAGATCATCAGTTACCGCCCCTGTTGGCTTAAGTCTCATGACCAGATCCTCAAGCTCTGCAAGGGTTAATAGTTGAAAAACCTCCAGTGCCCTTGGAACACAGAGATCTGCAGAGGGGTCATGCTTAAGTGATGGAATACAGGCCCTTGTCACCCTTTCCTTGTCCACAAAGAAGTCCAAAAGATTGTTACATGACTCAATGGTGTACTCAATCGCAAGGGGCTCATTGACATTTAAAATAGAGTCCACTGTCTTAAAAAGTATCCTAGCATTCTAAGAGTTTAAGGAGATTATGTTGGCAAAGTACTTTCTCCTTGCATCTTTCATGGCTTTATGATGGCCAATCCAATGTCCTCTTAGTAGGTCAAGTGAGCTCTGGAGCCCATCCTTTTTCCACCTCCGCACATCCTTTTCAGTGCTCGAGTACTCTTAGTTAGCCATGGCTCCTTTTTAGCTTTAGGTTTCTTTACCCGTTGTGGGGCTACCACATCAAGCGCCATGGTGCATGCTGAATCAAAGTGTATAACAAGCTCTTCAGTGGTCCAAGCTCCGTAGTCTTGCTCCACACACCCCATAGAAAACACTGCCGCAAACTCAGCAGCTGTAGAGTTATTTAACATCCGACAGTGCTTCATCGGAGCATATTGTTGCACACGTTTGTGATTCCAGGCCACATCAAACAATACTGGCCTGTGATCTGAAAAATAGGCCTCTTGAACCTCCTACACCCAGTGACAGCACCAAGTCCAAAGTATGGCCACTAACGTGTGTGGATTGGTCCACTAACTGAACCAAATTAAAAGAGTCAGCGAGATTTAAAAAATCTTTCACCAAAGGTTTATCCTGACAGCATGCATGTATGTTAAAGTCCCCATGAAGTAACACTTGATCATACTTAGGAATCAGCTCACCAAGCAATTCAGTAAAATCATCTATAAAATCATAGTTTTGTCTCGGTGGGCGATATAGGAGAGCAACCAGTAGCTTCTGAGCGCATCCCAGCTCACAGAGGCAGAGTTCAAAGCTGGTAGGCACAGAGGATGGATATACCTGCCTACACATAATTGATGACTTAAAAAATCACTGCCAATCCTCCACCACGCCCCGAGGGTCTCGGAACACTAAAATATGTAAAATCATCCAGAAGAATGTTTCAACTGAACCATGGTCAGCGCTTTGGGCTTCCTGACAGGGTTGCGGAAGGCACTTTATAAATAAAGCTTTGATTGATTGATTGATTGATTGATTGATTGATTGATTGATTGATTGATTGAAGAAGTTCCACAAAAGCAGCAGTTCCATCTTTAGGGAGTTTAGGGTTTTCAGTAACACACAGAAACTCCAGGCCATTTGTTTCAATAAATCGTTCAAAATAAAAGTCTTATTCATAATAGACCTGGCGTTGGACAGAGCAAACCTGATGATGGAAGAAGATGCCGTTATACTTGAGCCTTCTGGATCCACTGGCGAGGGCTCAGCCGATCCACATACAGTATCACCTCACGCAGATTTTGTCTGTGAACTCCTCTCCCGCAAGCTCGCCGATGTAGTGCAGGGCACCGCGACCGGATCATCCCACCGCCGCACACCACCGACACCAATCTGGAAGCCGCCAGATCCAACGGCCCCGGGTCCAACTGGTGCTCCGGCGTCCCACAATCCCCTTCGGAGCCAACAACTCCCCACACAGCATCCGACCTGCCATGTCAAGCTGATCCCATCTTCATCCGGTGTCCAGCACGCTTCCCCCGTCTCCGACGCCTTCTCCATCTAGGTAAGTTTGTCACGTAGCCCAAAGAACCATCCAGTAGTGGTGATGTATTCTGCCCAAAACCTCCAGAGAACGACAAGCCTTCAGCTGCTTGGCAA